ACCAGTATTTTTGCCCCTTCCCAAAATTACTTCAACGGAAGGTTTCCAGATGGTTATGCGGAGCAAATCCATCTGGCGGAGTCAGGTTACAACGCCAGAGGGCCAATCAGGAGCTAGCTGTGGGTCTAGATATGGCCGAGGCGATGAGGAAGTGGGGGCAAGTTTGTGCGACAACGGAGGGACTTGAGGGCCAAAAAGAGCGGAGATCCAGGTGGAAAAAGGGTCCCTCGCTCATCTAGCTGGTCCATTTTCACGAGTCGTTTTCCATGATGGCGGACATGCAAACAAAACAAGCCGATAAGGAACCAAACAGGAAATACGGATAGTTTAGAGCAGATGTAGATTTGACCAATCAGAGGCCTCTGAGGTGCAGCAGAGTGTCTGCGGAAGGGGACGGGCATATCTGCGTTCACTGCGACACATGCAGACGATCTGGTTTCTGAGTATAAATCAGCCTTTAGATCCATAATCTCCTTTCTTGGTCGTTACCTGCAGGTGAATGGGATTATTAACCCGGCTTAAAAGTTTTGCAGTGTCATCTTTACCCTGATAGGCTGGTACAGACGTCTCTCCCATCTGTCTCCACCCCTTCTCTTGACCCAAAGATGAGTGATGCTGTGGGGTTTTCTTGTTCCAGGAACCTGGAGGCGGACGTCGCCCTGCGCAGCACGGCGGCCGTCTTCACCTACTGCAGGTCCAGAGGTCTGTTTGCAGGAGTTTCTCTGGAGGGATCTTACCTGATAGAACGCAAGGACACCAACCGCAAGTATGAAGGAGCGCGGCCGTGCGCCCGTCGGACGTTGCTGAATGTTTTTGGTTGACAGAACGGTTTGTTTTCAGTTTCTACCAGCAAGATATCCGGGCTTCACGCATCTTAAATGGAGACGTCGAGCCTCCGACGGAGTTCCACGACCTTTACCACATCCTGGACGTGTACACTGAGGCCTACACCACCGACTGGACCAACAAGAACATGCGAACCAGGGTACTTATCAGTGGGATGGGGTTAAAAGCATGCAACACAGATTTTTACTGGTGGTCAAAGGTTTTCCAGTCCTCCTTTAGTCCTTTAAGGTGGATCTGATTGTTTGTGTCTGCAGTCAATTGCTCCATCCAGACCTCCTGCTCCATCCTCCCAGAGGGCTCCTCAAAGCAGCAGCCGGCAGCAAGCGGCAGACAGTGGTGAGGCTCCTAAGCGTGGCAGCTGGTTTCTGGGGGCTCGGGCTGCTGGTGCTGTCATTCATCCAAGTCTTTGTGTTTCAGAAGCGAAGAAAAACAGGCTCTACCCGAGTGTCTCCGTCTACAAGTCTGACGCATCGAGTAAGTCCTTCCGTCAGGGTTACTCTGAGGTTGAAGGTTCAGGTTTGATCAGGTTCCTCTTATATTTCATGGAGTCAACTGGTCTCAAAGAACCATCAGGTTTATTTTCTGAGAATGTGTTTATTTTAGAGAAACTGTGAAAAAGAACAAACATGTTGAAAAAGTAGAATATATTCTATTATTTTCCATGTGAATCCCAGATTCTTCTTTGCTTTTTCTACAAAGTTCTTTAAATCAGTCCTAGCTGTCTTTATCCATGCTGGCTCAGATCCTGACCTTTGAAAAGGAGGCAGGGAAAGCAGGATAAAGCCTTAGCCTCGCTGCAAGCAGTTAGCCGAGCCTTGGAGCTAAACCCGGTCCTGGAAAAGGGCGGTTCTTGCTCCATTTCTCTCACTCCTCAATGCGTCTCCAGCTCCAATCACCCGCAAAACATTAGCACTGCTGCAGGAGGTGGTGAGCAAATACACTTCCTGTCAGCTCTGCTGTACCTTTGTACTGCAGAGGAGCTACTGGACGTTTACAACTTTTAACGAGAGTCAATGGGCAAAGATT